AAGCTCACAGACCTTACAATTGCGTAGGTTTCTGACGTTTCGGGGGCGAGGAAATGCCATTGACAATGAAGGATGACTCACATCGACAGGAAATAGCGAGATCCCAAAATAGCCTCCATCGTAGACACTGTAAATTGACATATCTTCGCGTGGATTTCGTGATAGGAGTGGGTGGGTGAGTTTTTCACTTTTTTTTTTTACAAATTTCGAAGTTCGCATTCGAAATTATACTGTAGTAAACAAAAGGCACTGCGCAAACCACAAAAATAGGATCACCGCAAATATTTCAACATTTACAGTATCCTACTTTTTGCATAGTAGCCGTTACGAAGACTCATGTCATGATGACACGTTTTGTACGACACGAGTCATATGCATGTCCGGCCAACCCCACCATACCTCCTACCATAGATTACAGCTTCCGACGGATATATGACGTCACTTATGTCTACAACAGAGCGGAATTCTTACCCCACAAGACCCCTATACACACCCTCGCCTTGTACTCCACAACAGCGGACGTTGAGTTTGTTTTCTAAGTAAAATAACATGTATCAAACCTTAGCCTTAGGCTCCCACAATCGGAAATGCCTCCGAATTATAAAGAGAGGCCGTCAAAAAGGAGAACTTCTGGCGCGTTCGCATGAGTCTCCTACGAAAACACGGTGGACAATAGAAGGAAAACACCCCGGGCAGAAAGCATAACATTGACAGTGTAGTTACACTGTAGAGGTGCCGTGGCTAGGCAATGAAAGGAAATACATGTCAGGCTATGTTCGAGTCACGGACAACATGCTAGCCCCTGCATTTGTGTAGTGTCAGTAAATGTTGGACGATTTCTCTTCCCCCTCCCTGTGCCTACCTACTTTACAAACACCAAACGTTTACGCCGATTAGGATTATGCTTCAACGCTTTGTGTAGTCCACGTTAAGAGCATTATGTATACGGAATTCCCACATTTCAGTGCTTGGCAAACATTGGAAACAAACGCCTTTGAGTGCTGGATAACAAATCACCGCGTCAAAGCTCTAGACTTGTCAATTACAATCTAATTGTGTGTGTGTGTGCTACAACTTCGACATGTCAAAACAGAAGGTTTTTGCGTGGCATGCTATTCCATATCTAATGGTAGCTAGCCCGACCGCTGAATTAATTAAGCCAACCGCACTCTGACACTACTATCTGATCAATGCTATTTGTGTCAACACCAAAACCCATGCATAATGCACAGACCAGAGTACAACAGATTTGTCCCATAGTCCACAGACTCCAAAGTTCGTCTACCTTTGTCCAGAGTCCCCACTTGGAAGTATGTACAGTGCTGAATATTTGTCGCTGAACCCTCAAAAATTGGGCAGACATCTTCCGTGACTACAGGAGCGCAAATCTTACCTGAGTTTGTGATAACCGTCTTCCTTGCTTCTCTCGCGACGTCCCCTGGTTACTCTGGGCCCATATTAGAACCTGGAAGGGGAGAAAATGGTACGATTGTCGGTGTGTTTACCTCCAGCCACGAACGGACGTCTCGAGCACACACACTCCGCCGACTGACTTGCCTCGGGGGTTGACCCTCATGAAAAGATGAACTCTGAACCCGTGACCCCAGCGGGAGATTCCAAACTTTCAGGTATTTCCTTTGCAATTTTATTTTTGTCAAAAAATATCTACAGCAAGCTGACACATCATGGAGTGATACCTATTATCATAACAATCAGTAAGGTAAGTCAGTAACATAAAATGTGTATTTCGGTAACGCACAGCTTCCATTTGCGAGACAGGGTACGGTTGCTGGACCGTGATGAAGTAAATTATTGGTATATCACTAGTGTCCACCTATGCTCCAGGGTATTTTGGAGCAAATCTGTGGGAAAACACCGTACCGATTGTTCTGGTGATGTCGGGAGCAAATGTTAGCACGCCCAGGTGATACTTAACCTGGCGTAATCATGCGCAGTGTTTTCATTCATTTTATAAAAACACCCTCAATCAAAACTCAACTTCAAGATATACCATCGCTCTACACTGAAACAGATAACAAACTATGACTTGTGGTGATTATGCAGTGAAATTTGATACACTTTGTTTTCTAGGACAGAGAAGTATTAAACAACAACGTCTTTGCATATGTACATGCACAAGTATTCGAATCACAATACGATGTGTTGAATTGACTTGACTTGACTTGGCTTACATAATTTTGCAATTTCAGAGTAGGAGGGATTTAGACTCCTGTCACCATATATTATGTTAATGTGTTTGAGTAAGAATTAACAGAGCAGACCACATGCGAAGGTAAACTTTATGCATTTGCTTTGCAAATGTTACTTTTTTTTAGTTAACCCTTTTCAATCCAGGTATTATTCAAACCTTTGTGACCCGACTGTGACTCTAAGATGGTAAAACGACATTACACAGACCGCCTGTCCTCACCCCTGCCAACAAGCGGGTCGCAATTAGCACAAACTCTTGTCTCTATTTGTTGGCAGGAATGTCTTCAGATATCCAGTAACACGAGCAAGTTTACATTGTTACTGGGGGCTGTCTAGATACGGGGGCTGTTTGACTTTCAGCTGGCTGAATACACGTACGAGTAGCCCTAAGCCACGTTTTTGTACGGTACTAAATTTAGCAGAGTTAATTTGTTTTCACTACAAGGGTATAAACGTATAACTACATATAATTCTGTGGTATTTATGTAGCTATTTATGTAACTATAAATACTATAATATTTGCCTGTATGCTAACATTCTATATGATATCAATTGCATGTTGGATAATATCACTGCAACTGTAAATATTCCTACGTATCATTTGATTCCAATATCATACTTAGTATTTGAATTAATAAACATATTAACCTCGCAGTACTGTTTGCTGATAGAAGCCATTATTTTCAGGGACAAAAATCATTTGTAACGATTTCAAATCACTGATATATGACAGTAGCCCAATATCCCAGATACGTTATTATAAATCACACATATATCTAGGGTATATGTCCTCTACACTATTCTGAATCCCTGCCAAGGACGTAGAGCATTACATGATGCAATTTGCATGTGTCACTCATATTTCTCTCCATTCTGCAATATTTCTCCAGGAAATATCGATGGATTTTGATGATATGTAATTAAATAACCACTTGGTGACGCACATAACGATAATCGGTTTCTATTTTTGTACACTTCCTTATCCACGGGATTAGAAATTGATCCTTCCGGTCATTAATTTTCTTGCAAAGACGTGAATCATCATTAAGTCCTTGTATAACAAAAACAATTGTTATATTCTCAGAAGCTTCTTAATAATTAATAATATGATTTGTATGTACTGTAATTGAACATGTTCTTTAAATGTCGTACACTGTGGGTATCTGATCGTGCATCATCATTAAGTCCTTGCACAAAAATTGTTATATTCTCAGAAGCGTCTTAATATGATTTGTACGTACTGTGATTAAACATATTCTTGAAATGTACACTTTGGCTACCTGATGGTTTGTAAAATAACGTATGCGCATATCCTTCTCTTGTTTAGGGCGTCAAGTGGTTAATTGTGTTAATGATCCATTTAAAACACACGACGTGTCCTTGTTCGAACGCTTTTAAATTCCGTGGGGTGTCCCGGGAAAGATAATGATTATGTCTGCAGTGATTGTGGCAATTCAGTCGGCAATATAACGTCCTTGTTTGAGGCATGCTTGTGCCGTGACTCGAATATCCAAAACGACACGACAACACAACTTACAATATTGCGGCCCATTCAGACAATTTACTGGTGACGTCTTCCGAAGGATAATTAACATTTTGAATGGGTACAATTTTTATCGTCGTTCTTTCCTACTACTAGTACGTCGCCGTGCGTATCCAGATGTTGAAGGTTTCAATCGGTAACTATGATAAATGTACATGTTACATGTTGTCCTATAGCGACAATGTTGTCCTATATATTCCGAATGATAATTAACATCTTGAATGGGTACAATTTTTATCGTCACTCGTTCCTACTACGCCGCAGTGCCTATCCAGATGTTGAAGGTTCCAATCAGTATCTATGATAAATGTACATGTTACATGTTGTCCTATAGCGCTAGAGTAGTCTCCATTCAGCTAGCTGAGCGTGCTAGCTGGCCACAAAGGACGGCAACGCCCCCCTTTAAAAAACACGACAGAGTACGGAAGTTGGCAGACACTAGTGTGAATAAAACAGCAAAGGGCATTGGCATAATATAATTGTAAATATATAAAATGTACAAAAGATATTCATCGCTGGAAAACGAAATTTTTGTAAGCAATTTTACACGCGTACGGCATTAAACATATACTTAACAGTACATGAATGTCCAACAACAATGGCAGCAACAGCAACGTATATATAGATAGGTACTACGTAGCGACAAGGCCAGAATTATTATTCTATTAGCCTTCCCTGTTTACTCCGGCCAGTTGTCAAACCTGAACATATCGTACCTACAGTGAATACAGATCCAAGGCTGCCCCGTCTTCTCTTAAAACTGCTAATTTGCGATGCGAAATAAAAACCATCAACAGCGAGACAGTCAACGTTACAGGCACCATGGCTTATCTGTATACATCACAGACATTTTTGGTCAGACTAGAAGAAAAACAAAACGTCTATCTTACCGTCTGTTGTGATACGGAGAGAGCGAGCGAGAGCTGTAGTGTAGGTAGCGCCGGTTCGCAGGTAGCTATAGGGCGATTGGCAAGGATCAGTTACAACCTATTACGTCATCCATCCAGGCAACCCAGCGCGCTTTCACGGCAGCCGGTCATCCATACGGGCGGCCCCGCGCGGTCCTGACGTCACGGCTACCGCAGCACAATCCAACCGCGGTACCCGGCACCCCGGTACTAGGGCTGCGTACCTAAACGCAACATCAGGTACAGGTACAAGTACCGGTACAGAGGTTTAGGTACAGGTCCGGACCTGTACCTGTACCTGAACAATTTGACAAATTAACACGTGTTCTTCACTTTTTCAATCATGACACAAACAATAATAAAGTGTTGACAACTTGTCAGTATCTTCCAATCACAACCCTGGATCAGCCACACTCTCGCGATGTCTCGTGAGACTGAGGATCTCAAATCAATCGACGGTGTTTACGTCTTTTCCAGTGCTAATTTTTCGTCTTTGTGGTAGGATTTACCTATCTTTAGTCATATACATGGTGTAAACTAGCTATTTCGGTATATACTCGTTACTTCATGATCCGGTATTTTGGACCTGTACCGAAACGATTTTTACGGTATTGGACCGGTACAGTGTACCGGTCCGCAGCCCTACCCGGTACATTATGTCAGCCACCCTCTCAAGTTTCCCGGGCTTTATACAGGCGTCGGCGTCACGTTTCTTTTGTTTTTGGAACCCCTATCTATCATTTTGTATAAGGGTATAACTATAAGGTATTTATCAGGCACAGTCGGGGCTGGTTTATAAAATCGATATATAGTCTGCCCATGCATCCCCGTGTCTGACTTGAGCCTTGATTAATATTATGATGCCCGCGAGCATTCTCCCGGACTCGGGCACATTCAATTTTCGACCAAACGGATGAGACAATCATGCAATGCCGATGGAATATCCGCGCACCTTACCAAGGCCAAGGTTAGGAGAAGGGGTGCGCTCTGGGGATTTGGTTAAACCAGTTCCCACTCAGTGCGACTAGGAAACGTGTTTTCGATTAACATCGAAAATTTAAGATCTCAAAATATCCAATATTTTGTAATCGCTTACCAGATGTATTCTGTAATGCAGGCAAAATGATATCTTCAAATAACGACGCTTATAAAATATTTCAAATCATAAACATCGTAAAACGTTATATATGTTATACTATTGTACAAATGCAGCAGCCGAATGACAATTTACAGTAAAGTCTAGAAATTTAAAACAATTACGATTTCATTACGTAGCCACAACTATTTCTGGTTCTAAAATTGAAAACGTTATAATGCTGTTGATAAATTATTCATCATTTCTTTGTTGTATATTTCAAAACAATTATGATTTTGTGACGTAACCAAAACAACAGGCTCAATCAAGTTCGTACCATATTTCTGTTTGCAAACATTGAAAACATTATGTTTTTGCTTTCATTTATATCGCTGAGACAATATTGAAAAAGTTAAAACGTTTTGGAACAACCATTTTCATGGCGAAGGTAAAATAACACATGCAATCAAGAAACTGAACAATATTGGCGATTATGAGTATTGAATCGTATTGTTACGTCCTTGTGTTTCAATATTCTTGTATGTGTCTACATTTATGAAATTATGATTATGACTAAAAAATTCTTCAACCTCAGTTATCGAATAATATAATGTGAGCAAGCAATCATTATTTCAGATTGTGAATACTAGAATTTTATTGTATTGTTACGTCCTTATTTTTTATATTCTTACATTCATAATTCACTATTTCTTTCTCCTCATTAACTCATTATGCGCAAGCAATCAAGAATATAAATCATATTTCTGATGGTGAATATTGTATCGTATGGTCATATTTGTGTATTTGAACATTCTTAAACATATATACACTAATTTGAATTATAACAAAGCAAAAACATTTAGAGTTGTGAAATGGTTACTAAATGGTTAGAAAGTAGTTTTTAGTCGTGAGTGACTCAAATAGGTCATTGGGAGATGAGGTTAGGATTAAATATCCAAAAACTTCAGAATTACATGAACTCCTAATATCGAGTATGCGACACGTATTAGGTACAAACTAGCTAGATAAATAGCAGTAGCATCATTATGTGATCCGCGTCTGAATCTACGGCTCGCAATACCAATTCGAAATTGATTTTTCCCGCCATTTAACTAGGTCAGCTTGAAGCAAGCCAAATATAGAAAAGCTGCAGTGATAGGATCTCATGAAAGTAGGCCAACCTGAAAGTTTCTTATCAACCGATTTTTGGAAAGTGCTACTGGCTAATACTAGTAGCCATGGGAGGGGAAAAACTATAAGTATGCGTAATCAACTTAGATAGAATAGATAACAATATGAATGCAATGTTTAGCATCAAGTTTCTTATGTACTTAAAGATTATTTCATTCCATCTTTATCAGATGCGAGATTTTTGACTCCGTGACCAATTTTACTTTTCCTTGTCCTTGATATACAAGAGCCCCTTCCCCTTTTTACTTGTCAGAAAATCCGTGGCGTTTTCAGTTGAATACATCTATTCTCTTGTATGTACAAATTAGAGCTGGATCTGTTTTTGCCATTATAGCACGTGTGTTTATGTAGGCTGTCTTTTGTTCCGGAAACATAAGGAGACAAACAGCCCGAGGGAGCTACAAACATTTATTCTGTGATTCGTCTGACTGATTTGACCCAACATATAGTTTAGCACTCTCCAAGCAGATGCTGATGGGGGAATATCGTTACCTTTTTATATATTTTGGTCGCTACCCCCACCCACTAAAAAAACGGAGCATATATATATAAAAAGGTAACGATCTTCCCCCGTCAACATCTGCTTGGAGAGTACTGAACAACATGTTGGGCCAAATCAGTTCCATGCAAACAAGTAAAGTCATGAGGTTTCTCTGACGTACGGAATGGAGTTAATTATTAAGACGGTATCATTTGCACTGGGGGTCCGTTTATAGATTAGGTAAGTATATTGTTTTAAGTTTCAACAGGTTCAGAATCCGCCGGCTTACGTTTGAAAGATACTTCCGTAATCTGCTACAATCTACAAATATACGTATACGCGAGATACAGGTATAAGCTTATATGCGAGCTCATATCTCGGTGTAGGATTGGTTTAGTTGTATTCCATATGATCAGTCAACTATTATAACATGCTCATTTTCGCCCAAGCAAGTCAATTGATTTGTTAGCCAACGTGTGTTTGCTTTGTAATTATATCGAACCTAATTCTATTTTCGACTTAAAAATAGAACACGTGTTAATTACGCATGAAGGATTTAGTAATCAAGTTAGTAGTTACATACAAAAGAAAGCACTCTACAGATCGAACAAAGGTACATACGGAATAAAGGATTTGCTGTTTTGTAAATTATATGGAATTTGAAAGAATATCATATTTTTATGATATTCTTTTTTGATTTCATATGGTTTTACACACGAACCTTCGTTAGGTAAATTGAAAATCCCACATTAAAAATTAAATTTGATAAACTATTGTATTCTACTTCGTCAAACAAGTTCGATTACTATAATGATAGTAGTTTTTAAATTCACACAGACATTGCCATCCTGTACTTGTGCAATATCCGAAGTGTTTTTACTACTTTTTTTCTATATTTTGACATCTTTATTTTCTAGGAATTTGTATGTTGTGATTGGACGTAAAATCTTCTCTTTTTTTCTCGTCCATGTCAATCTGTACTGAGGCTGAATGATGATACCTTCCTTCAAAATTAGAAACTCCGTGAATGATGACAAAATTATGCTTGAGTTTGAGTTTATGCAAACGTATCACTGCGCACAACTCGCCAAAATGTTCAAATTCCAAGACCGAGAATTCCATGACTGTTGGACTTTGTTGTGATTAGGCGTAAAATCTACATTTTGCTCGTCCTTGTCGATTAGGAAGTCACGAATTAGAAAATGAATGAGTTTACGCAAACGTCTCACTGCGCAAAACTCGCGAAAATGTTCGAATTCCGAGAATTCCAGTGCCGGATTGACAGTAACGTTCCCACGGGTAGTAGTTATGCTTCCTCCCAGGTCCGTTAGGCGTACCTCTGGGGCAATTATGGGGGGAGTAGAGTGCAGCCGACGTCATCAGCGACAACCTGTTTCATCAAGCTATAATAAACCGCGTCAGAGCGGCAAACATGACCGAACAACCGAGAAAACCGGACAAAAAACAGTCA